ACGCCTGTGAAAGTTTGCAACTCAAATGGTCCTCAGTCAGGGACCTACTGTATTGAGATCCCCCACTATAATTATATTGATATTGACCTGATTTTTTTTACTGATGCACTGTTTAGTATGTATATGTTTATAATTGTCATTTCTTCCTGTTGAATTGTTCCCTTAAACAATATACAATAAGTCCCTAATTTATGAACATTAGATTTCTGAACTTTCAGATAAGAATGGACCTTGCATTATGAACATTTGTAGATGTAAACAAATCACAGAAGTAGCTTACGTGTCTGCTGGACATTGTCACAGTTGTACTGCTATGGCTTACTGTACGGTGCAATAGTGGACCATAGTACACAGTGCTCAATCAGAGCCCAGTATGTCTAGAAGCAAGAAGAAAAACAGTGGTGCTGTAGAGGGGACTGCCAGGAAGTGCAAAGCAATGTATATTATATATTTGTGTCACAGGTGTATAAGATTCACTTAGTTGGACTAACAAATAAATTCATCTTAAATTGTTCTCCCAGAGTGGAACACATTCATAAGTCAGGGACTGACTGTATAGTAATCTTTGTCTCTTCTGATTAGTTTTGACTTGAAGTCCATTTTTTCTGCAAATATGATTGCTACTTCTACTTGTTTCTGGGTTCCTGTTGTATGGAGTATTGTTTTCTGTCCTTTGACTTTTAGTCTATGAATTTCTCTTTGGGTAAAATGAGTTTCTTGTACATAGCATACCACTGAGCTTCATTTCTTGATCCATTTTGCCATTGTCTGTCTTTTGATTGGGGAATTGAGACATTTACTTTGAGAGTTATTATTAAAATGCATACAGGCAAGAATGGACAGATAAGAATGGACTTTGCACTATGAATATTCATCTGTATTAATACTCATCTGTAATTAATACTCATCTGTATTAATAAATTTCTGTCACTGCATTATTTTTCCATTGCTGATTCCCTTTCTTTCCCTTCCATTTAACTGCTCACCCTACCTGATGGATTCATTCGGTTTGACCTTTTGGCATGGTTAGCTTCATTGTCTCTTTCTAGGATATCCTGGAGAAGTTTTAGGAGTTCTGGTTTTGGTGTGATGGATTTCTTTAGGTGCTCTTTATCGTGGAAATATCTTCTCCATCAGTTTTAAAAGATGAGGCTGGAGATATAGCTTAGTGGCACAAGCACCTACCTGGTAAGTGCAAGGTCCTGAATTCAAATCCTGAGACAAAAAAAAAATAAAAATTAAAGGATGGTTTTGCAGACTATATCAGTCTGGGTTGGAGGTTTTTTTCTTTTAGGGCTTGAAACACTTCAAGTTCTCTTGGCTTTTAAGATTTGTTTTGGGAAGTCCACTATACTGCTAATGGCATTTCCTTTATAAGTGATTCATTGCTTTTCTCTAGCACCATTTAAAATTCTGTTCTGGTGTTGGCCTTCTGGGATTTTGACTATGATGTGTTGGAGAAGTTCTTTTCTGATTGTGACTATTTGGGGTTCTATATACCTCACTCATCTGTATGTTAAATTATTTTCCCATATCTGGAAAGCTTTCTACTGTTATTTCTGTAAACAGATTTTTTTTTAATGGAATTTGTGCTGTCTTCTGATTTTCCAATTCATCTTAGATCAGTATTATTTGTGTCATCTAGGAGCTGTTGTATTCATTTTTCATGTTCTTTTGTTTTTAGAGTATCTCTTAACAATTAATCGCTGCAGTAGCCCTCTCTTCGAGTTCTTACAGTCTGCGCTCACATTGATTGCTTCTCCTGCCCATGCTTTCAATAGAATTTTTAATCTCTTTGATTTCTGTTTGGTGCCTTTTCATGGATTTTAATTCTTTTTCCATTCTGGATGTTCTTGTTTTGTGTTGCTTTGTTTAGCTTAGGTAGTTTTTATTAGTGTCTTCTGTAGACCTGCTGTTCTTTTTGTTTATGAGGATCTTTACCTGTTTAATTATATCTTCTTTGAACTCATCAAGCACCTTATTGTTGCTTTTTAATCTCTGTTACCCTTTCAAATAATTGGTCTATGTGGCTTTGTTTTCCTCCCCCTTAATGCCCCATGGGTTGGCTATGGGGGAATTGAAGTTTTTAAAGGTATTTTGTTTCCTTGTCTTTTCACATTTCTGTTTGTTTGTTATGCTGAAATTATGGGTTGATTACAGTGGAAGATGTTGTTGCAATATGGAGGCTTTGTTTTCCTCCCCCTTAATGCCCCATGGGTTGGCTATGGGGGAATTGAAGTTTTTAAAGGTATTTTGTTTCCTTGTCTTTTCACATTTCTGTTTGTTTGTTATGCTGAAATTATGGGTTGATTACAGTGGAAGATGTTGTTGCAATATGGAGACCTCTTTAGTGTCTGCTTTCCATTGATGTACCCTGGACATGGCTAATTAATATGTCTTTGCCTCTGCCCTAGAATCCCCCTCATTTTTTTTGTTTGTGTGGGGAAGCTTCATTGTATTTGGCAAGTGTTGGTAAGGGCTGTAAAGATGGCTTATGGGGTCATGTTCATTAAGGATTAAAGACCCTTCAGGGAGTCCATAGGTCTCACTGATTAAAGCAGCTGCATTGTTCATTGGTTAGGGAAGAGTCTCTATTTAGGTTCTAGAAGGATCTGTTTTTTGAGAGTTACTTGGCATTTATAGACCCTAAACAGCTTCAGCTGGATAGGCGAGTTGGCATGAAAGCCATGGCCTCGCCTGGTTTAAGGAACAGATCTCTTCCAGGGTAGCTTTGCCAGGAAGCCTGCTAGGGAGGGCCCTTCATGATGGGGCTTCTCTACAGACTGAATGTTTGGCAAGTTGTGTACCCTGCCTGTGAGCGCTCCCAGGTTAGGGGTAAACACATAACTTCCTTTCTTTCCTTTCAGATCAGGCCAGGAATGAGAGTCTTACTTATTAAGGAAAAAGGGGGAGAGCATTCTCATTTTTCATTACAAGTATAGAATTCTCATTCATGTAAGTACCAGAATTCCAGAAGTTTCACTGTTAGGAAGAAAGACTATCATACCTCTTTACACTTTTTTCCCTCCACCAGTCACATTTTGGAAATAGACACAGGAATAGAAGGAATACATCCCTGCCCAGAGCAGTCCCCTGCATGTAATTTCCCATCAGTCTTTTTTAGTCTGTTTTCTGTTTTGTATCAGAGCAACTGTTAATCTACTTTTATCATTCTCCAATATTCCATATCCTGAGTACAGGTTATGGTGTATTTTATAATAATATTTTAAAATTTAGAATTCAGCTCTCCCTCCTTCCCTTTCTCCCTTGTGTATGTGTGTGTGTGTGTGTGTGTGTGTGAGAGAGAGAGAGAGAGAGAGAGAGAGAGAGAGAGACAGAGAGAGACAGAGAGAGACAGAGAGAGAGAGAGAGAGAGATTTTCCATGAACACTGGCAGGAAAACTTGAGGACTTCTGTTTTTTATTTTGCAATTGAAGTCCCTCACCCAAGAGGCAAAACAGCAAACAAACAAGAAAATCCAGTTATTTAAGCAGCACTTACAGGGGAAAAAACATCTGACTTTATTTGGTGAGAAGAAAGCAGTTGGAAAAGAAAATCCATAATTCTTAAGTATGGAGGTCATAGTACTTTTATTGGTAAATTTAAAAAATGTAGTTGGGCATGGTGTCATGTGCCTGTAATCCTAGCACTCAGGAGTCTGAGGCAGGAAGATCACTGTGAGGTTGAGGCCAGTCTGGTCTATATAGCAAGATAATGTCTCGTGAAACCAAAAAAAAAGAAAAAAAAAATTTAATGACTAAAGAATCCTAAACTTCAAGGGCAGAGGTGGGGATGCAAGAAGAGAGGAAAAAGAGTCAATAGTAACAGCCAACAGGACTAGGGAAAAGGTTTCAGGGGAGAGATTTAACTCTTGAGAACATCAGTCACCATTTTAATTAAGTTCCCAGGAGATGGGGTAAACTTGTCTTCTGAAGTTGAGCTTCTCGGTACCCACACTGTGTGGGTGAATGTGAGAACCTTTATGTCTTTACTGAAATCCTGAGGTTGTTACAGCTTTGTTTTCAGTGTTGGTGCTCATATTACAGATGAACAGAAGTCCCTTTGCCTACTTGGTTGGACTTACCTATTACATTCAGGAGAAAATAGTGTCAGCCTTTGTTTCCTTTCCCCCTGGAATTATCCTTCAAACAGCCTTGAAGAACAAAAGTTATCCAGTGTCCCATATCTTGCACAGGGCCTGGGATGGAGGTGTTCGGTCTGTGTGTGTTGAATGTCCTCCTCTAGAAATTGCTGTCACTCCTTCAGTATGCTGCTTTGTCTCTGAGCAAGGGCATTGTTGACCTTTTGTTTAAAATTAACTCATACTTTCCCTTATTTATTTAACAAATAATGAGTTTATGTCATGAATCAGACATTAGGAAAATCCGAGCATGTCCTAATGTAAGAGGTGACTAGGTCTTGCTCTCTTTAGTTTTGGATCTTAAATTGAATCTGAGGGTGGGTGTGCAGCCCTGTGGCAGAGCACTTTTCTAGCATGCGCAACGCCATGGGTGGATCCCCAGCACTACAAAAACATTCTACTTTAAATTGAGGTGAAATTCATGGAAACTGAAATGAGCCCTTTTGAAATATACGATTTAGTGACATTTAGTAGATTCAGTTTTGTACAACCACTCCCTTTCTAGTTCCAAAGCACTTTTGTCATCTGTAAGAGAATGATCTATCCATTAGATAGTCATGCTCTATCCCAGTCCCTGGAGGCCCTGGAAACCACTTATCCATCTCCAGTGTCTGAGGATTATGTGTGCATTGACTGGTAGACTTGAGAGGAGCGACAGTGTTACATTTGTATGTGATTCCTTGCCTGAGGAGCTCCAGGCAGCCCATCAGAGAGCAGTGTAGACTGTCCTTGTGACTGGCCACCATGGTATGGAGTGAGGGATTTTCCCCACAGTCAGGGTAACTGCAGTCCAGGAACTGCTGCAGGCTGAGGACCAGTGTGTAGAATGTGCTTTCTGATGCTAAGATGCTCTTTCTAGGATGGTTGGTCCTGACGTCATTCCGCTGCCACACATCTATGGAGCCCGGATCAAAGGAGTGGAAGTGTTCTGTCCTCTGGACCCGCCACCACCATATGAAGCTGTGGTGAGCCAGGTGGATCAGGAGCAGGTACTGTCCAGAGCATTTCTCTTCAGTACGTTGACTGCAGGCAGGAAGCAAGACACCTCACAGAGAACAGGGGAGAGACGGTGCCCGCGCATCACTTTAAAGAGCTCGCTGGGAGCCCGTGAGCTGTGAGTTGAACATCAGTAAAATAAACCGTTTCTTTCCTGTGATGCAGGGATCTTCATTCCAAGTGCCAGAGGCATCAGAAGCTGCTGCTAGCCCCTTGGAACCAGTTTGTACGCACGTGACTCAAGGTAATAGACATATTATCGCTGCTCCGAGTCATGGTTCTCTAGATGAAAATGTGGTAGAATAATCATCTGTCTGGTGTCTTGGAGGTTAGATATTCTTGGAGCAAATGACTCAGCCTATTTTCTTCTTTCCAGGTACAGTAATGCTGGTAAGTACTTATAAATGGGAGATAATATGTGAACAGGAAAGAAGAGATAGATTAGATTCTTTTATGAATAATCAGAACGTCTCTCTTCAGTACGTTGACTGCGAGTAGGAAGCAAAATACCTCACAGAGAACAGTGCTCTGCACATCACTAGCCTCAGGAACCTGTGAACTAGAGTAGGGTTCAATGTGGCCTTCCTGTGTTTCCCAATCTATAGTTTTCTTTCTCCTATAAAGGAAAGAAGTTTCATTTATTGCAGAGTGCTTTGCACCATATTATTTATAAGCTAGGGCCAGTCATCCTGCTTTAACGTTGAGTGAATTCTGATGTTCAGTCCTGTAGTAAATCCTAGAGTCAGTTTACATCTATCCCTGTGATTTGAGGATATCATTGTTATAGCTTTCTCTTCGGGGAGGTTTTAAATGACCTAGAGAATTGCCCACGAGGACAAAATTGCAAATGGTAATAAATAATGGATCAACTTTTAGCTATTTTAGATGGAGGTAATTTTTCATCAGTAGCATTTGGAATGAGTTCCTGTTCCCCTTCTTCTTTTTTCTTTTTTCTCAATTTTGTTTCCTGAGGTTTGAAGCCAGGGTCTCATGCATGTTCAATACACTGTACCAGTGCGCCCCACCCCAGCCCCACCCTCCAGCTGTTTTAAGGAGAACTGTGAAGCTGAGCTCTGTTATCCTAACTGTGTTTGTAATTCTTCCATTTTTACAGAGACTTTTCCAAACCACAACTTGGGCTCCCAAATGTTATGATTTTATTTCCTGAGCAGAGGTCATCCAATTCCAGAGTAGTTTTGCTGAGTCATTCAGTGGCCCCAGCCCAGGCCCCGCTGCCACCCCTTGGCCTGCAGCACACAGGGCACCTCTCACCTGTGCAGGGGTCCTGCGGCAAGCTCAGCCTGAATACATAGTCAGAAACTATAAAGTGTTGTGAGTTTCTCAGTGTTGCCTCAGGATGCATCTGTGGAGGAGACTCTAGGCACCTTTAGAAAAAGCTGATGGTCTGGTATGACTTCTTGGCTCTCAGGTTTAATGCTTCTTGTTTGTTTGTTTTGGGTGTGGCAGGGTGGTTTGGAGAGGCAGGTTTTCCCATAGTGCTGGGAAATACAACCTGGGCTGGCAGCCTAAGTAAATGTTATTATCTATATTACTCTTGCCCTGGCAGGTTTAGGCTCCCGGGTGTTTCCTGCCAAACATTTGGAAGGCTGCAGCTGGTGAAATAATTTATGTTTCTCCCATTTAAAATGACTCAGGTGGGGACATTCCTAACACACCTGGAGAAGAAAGCACATCCATACCACCTCCCAACTCAAGCCCAGCGCATCCTGCTAGAAGCCGGAGAGCCCTCCCACCTCTGAGGACAAGAACGAAGAGTGATCCCGTGCTCCACCATTCCGAGGAGAGAGGTGATGTCCTTCCCCAAGTTCTTTGCAGACCACTGTGCCCGTTTGTCTAAAGGTGTCAGGTAGAAGCAGCTGCTTCTGGCTAGCCCAGGACCCTGCAGTTCATGTGGTGTCTAGGAGGAGATTAAGAAGTCATGGGAAAATAAGGTAATCCACACTCCCTTTAGGAATGTGTATCTGTGGCTTCTTTTACAGCTGGCAGAATTTGTTTTTTAAGTCAATATCATCAGAAGCATTTGGTTGCATATGATACTATGCTAGGTACACCAGGAAGAAAATTATGGAAAACCAGTTGTGATTTCTAGTTGCTTATAACCCTGTGGGAATAAAATCAGCAGGGTGTATGTTTTTGCCCCCTCTTCTGTAGGTCATTATTTGCTATCTTTTTACTGTGTTTCAGTTGAACTATTAGAATCTGACCTTGTTTTAACAAGTTTAAATAATTTGAAACACACACAGTTCATCTCCCTCCCTCTCTATTTTGAGTTTGGCTTGTATGTAGATATTATTTGAATAAGTTAAAAATTTAAAAATAATAACTTAGGCTTTTTTCTGAATATGTGAATACCTAGACATTTCCAAATGTGTCATCATTGTAGAAAATTGGAAAAAGATTAAGAAAAGGAAGAAAATGAAAATCTCTCATCAATAGGGCGTTCCTTGGGGGAGCTATCCCAGTAGTTGGCTTCTGCTCTTCTAAAACTCTGCAAGTGAAACTGCTCATTCTCTAACCTGTCTCTTGGTTCCTGTCCAAGCCTTGCAGTTTCTCCTCTGTCTCCCTGACACTGTGTGTTGTTGGCCACAGCTCTGGACTGACCGTGTGGGAGCACAGAGAACGCTCCTCCTGTCTCTGCAGCACTGGGCAGGAGAGGACGCCTCATCGCCCAGACTGAGCACCCTCTGTGTGCAACCCCTGCTGCTGGGCAGCCGGGCGCTGATTCCCAGACTCACCTGCACGGTGGGAGGACTTGAGCTGGCCACTTACCAGCTTCCATGAGAACTTAACTGCCTGCCTTGCTAAGGGAGGTCTTTCTGGAACCCCTTCGCATATTGCAGTCCTTCAGGGGTAGGAAGGCGTGGTTGCCCTTTGGATTGTTTGATTGTGGGAGGCCCCAGGTTGCCTTCATGGGAACGAGCATAGATCCTGACTCTGTCCTCACACATGAGTGTCTTTACCGTGTTTTTGGAAGATTCTTGCTCTCTGTAGCATGCAGATGCCAACCTTGGAGGACAACCTCTAACCCCAGTTTAGAGTGCCTCATGCCTGCCTTTCTCCAGAGGAAGAAGAGTGCTCATCTTCTCCATCTGCTTTCTTATTCTCTACTTCCTGTCTTCCTTGAATATTTAAATTCCCACTTAGGCCTTCATAGACTGCAGTCGCCAGTGTTATATTCACTGAACAGTGCTGGCTGGCTTATGGACACGTGGAGAGCAGGCCTGAGTTTCCCTTCACCCACTTCATGGTGCAGTAGCATTCTGCTGGTCCTTACATCCTTGTTGCTATAGGTAGTCATGGGAATTAGAGTCTCCTGTGGATTTTTCAGGCCTGCTGTTGCCTTCAGGAATGATGTATAATCTCTCTGAACCTGTATTTTCTGTAATAGTCAGCCATAGATCTACCTCATGGCCACGGTGTGAGCTTCGGTACTAGAACTCAGTACAGTGCCCTTGAGGATGTTTAGGACAAAGGTACAGTCTTCAGTGAACATAGCATTACATTCACCCCACAAGTCTTGTTTCTCTTCACTCCCTTCACATGACTGCTTCATTGCAGAACATTCTTTTATTCGTCAACCATGTTTTTTTGCTCTTTTTTGTCCATTCTCATCTATCTGCCATACTCCATGAAACTCACTCGATTTTGGTTTGCATTCTGGATTCTACTCGTTGCCCTCTGTCTTTGCTAAGGTTGAGTTTTATGTGACACACGGTGCACTCATAGAATAGGCTTGTGTCATACTTTTGATTTTGTTTTTCCTTTTCCTTCTGTAAGGTGAAAGACAAGATGTACATGACTGTTGGCATTTGTCACGTGCTTTCCATAGTGAATGTTGTGGCCTTTGTTCAAAGTGCCTCAGCCAATAGCTTCATGTTGTTTGTCTGCCCACAGCCGCTCCAGTGCTCAGCTGTGAAGCCGCGACACAGACTGAAAGGAGACTGGACCTGGCTGCAGTGACCCTGAGGAGAGGGTTGAGACCAAGAGCGTCACGATGCAGGCCCCGGTCTTTGATAGATTACAGGTCTTACATAGATACCAAGCTGCTGGTGGCCAGGTTTCTGGAGCAGTCCTCCTGCAGTATGACCCCTGACATCCACGAACTTGTAGAGAATATTAAGTCTGTTTTGAAGTCTGATGAGGAGCACATGGAGGAAGCCATCACCAGTGCCAGTTTCCTTGAACAGGTAGTTTCATTATCGATAGCAAGCATCACTGTGATATTGGTTCCCATAGCAACGTGAAACCAGCTTGAGTGGTTTCTCTGATTTCCCAGCCAAGGCCCAATGAGTTCATGGTCGGGAGCTAGGGGAGGAAGCCTGCACTTTCCTTTCAGGCTTGGTGATGTTTCCACCGTGGTTTTGGCCCAAGGGAAGAGAGCCTAGTTTTCTGGGACGTGGGAGCAGAGCTAGAAAGCCACAGGGTCTAGGCAGTTCAGAGCATTCAGCACTGATTTCCTGAGGGGAAACTTCCTCTGATGAGGTGTATATTTTCAGCCCTTTGAGAATGATGGCAGAGCTGAACCATAATATTGGCAAGATTCTGGAAGCTGTGCACATTCCCACAAATTGCTTCGCACTATAAATAAGCCAGCAGGACTTAAAGGAATAAACACCTTCTCCTTTCCATAGGTTAGAAATAAAAGGCAGCTGAGCATAGTGGCGCACCTATAATCCCAGCACATGGGAGGCTGAGGAAGGAGGATAGTAAGTTTGAGGCCAGTCTGGGCTGCATAGTGAGGCCCTATCGCATAAAATACAAATAAGTAAAAAAGAAAGAAGGACAATCTTCTGAATAGACGTGACCCAGGGCAAAGGTCAAATTGCAATGCTCATATGCATTTTAGGTTTCTTATCTTTAACATGAAGGGTCAGATGAAGTGGTGTCTATTCCTGTATCTTGGAATGACTAGGATTCCCTTCTGCTAAAAACCTCTGCACTGTTTTAAAAGCTGTTACCTTTGAGGTGGTGACTCCTGGGTCAGCAGGGTGGGCACTGCTGACATCAGCACACAGTGGCCCATGGTGTTACTTGGCTCAGTACCTTTGTGCATGAATTGCCCAACACGTACTTGTGTTGACTTGCACTGATTCTCAGAGCAGTTACCACCTCCAGGAGCCTAGGTAAAATTTTAAGACAAGTTGAATAAGTCCCTTTCTGTACCCCCTTTTTGCCTGTTGGGATTTTCTTACCGAAGCAAAGCCAGAAGCCAGATTCTCACCCTGTCCCTAAGGGACCCAAGAGGGGAGTTGTCTGATTATTTGTGGTAAGAGGTCCTTAAACCGCAGCTTCCTTTCTGGTTTGTTTTCTAAAGGAATGCGCAATCAGAGGTGGCGGGTCAGGCTCCAGTTGTTAACCTGTGTAGGGGAGGCCTGAACATCCTGGTGAACCTGAACTATTCCAGGGGTCATTTTCTGTTTGTGCCCTGCTGTCCAGTCTCAGTGGTCCAAAACACAGAAGCAAGCATCTGGAGCCACTTCTCAAAGGCCCCCAAATTTGATGAGCAAAGAGCTGGAGTATCTGCCAGGCAGTGAGGTGGACCCTTTCCCAAAGCCCTGGGACCCTTTCCCATTTCTGGGGAAATAGGTCTGAGGAAAAGAACAGGCACTTACGGTTGTATATATGCTGTAGTTACAGATGTTTCTAGATGCCTGTGCTCCACACTGGTTAACAGTTCAAATACTGAAATTACTGAGAAAGACCCTGGGCCCCTCCAGGGCCCCTCCAGTTGTGAACCCCAGTGATGGGCATCATAAGGCCACACTCCTCCCCAGACGAAAAGAGGCCAAGGGCATTGCAAAGGGACCTTTGATTTCTGACTCTACCAAGCTTTGCTCACTTTCACTTTCTTTAGTGATGGGCATGAGCTTTTAGATCCCAGTAGAAAAAACACTCTTGTTCTAAATTGCCATGCATCGCAGTCAAGTGTAATGAATGTTGGAATTTCTTCTTAAGCAAGGCCACAAAGAGAAATAGTTAATAGAGAGCAAAACATAATATGATTGTTCTATGATGCTAGGTGGCAGCAAGTACCCTGAGTCTTTCCCAAGGTGCTAACAGTACGACAGGTCATAGAGACATGGCTGTGCAACTTTGCAAAGTTGTCGTACCTGGACAGTCCTCCCCCCTCATCAGTGCCAATCGTACGAGGAATTTCCTGTAGTTTTGCCATTTTACAGTGATGTTATGTATGTGACACATTCACTGCAGAACAGATCTAGCAGTAGAACCATTCTTAAACAGTTTTCTTCTTTAAACAAATAAATTGGCCTCGTTTTTGTTGTTTATTGCGCGGTTATCTGATCCACCCAAAGCCCTGTTGGTTGGGGTTGACATTTATATTTACCTGACCATGCCAGTAGTTTTCAAGCTTTCAAGTGCATTGGTAGCACTGGGTTCTTATTAAAATTATTAATGCTCAGGCTCCCTTTCATTATCAGAATTGGTGGCAGTGGGAATTCATGTTCCTCACAAGACCTGTGACCCCCACACACCTCTACAGTAAGGAGACTCACTAGCTTAGACCGCAGGGAAACTGGAAAAGAGTAATGAGCAGACGGTTAAATCGGAAGCAAGAAATTGCAGTTGACCAGACAGTAAGTGTGGCAAGGCTGCAGTCGACACAGTGGAAACGTAGAGAATGTTTTTAGCAGCTTTGGAGAAGAGGCAGTACAATAAAAGTATGCCTGGGACTGCAAGTAGGTGCTGCCTGGGGAAACCACTCTTTCTTTCATGAAGCTCTTCAACACTGAAATACATGGCTGGATATGGGCGGCGGGTCAAAGGCCGCCTTCGTGAAGCGTAACCTCTCCGACTCCTTTCCTTTTTCTCCCAAAGATAATGGCTCCATCGCAGCCCAGCACTGCCCAGGCCCCCGCGCCGCCCTCGAGGAACCAGCCCGGCCTGCTGCACCTGCGCAGCTGTGGGGACCTGAGCACCTTCGCGTCCCCCGTGGGGAGGCCCAGAAGCAGCAGGAGGCCCCGACGAGCGGAGGCTGAGCGGCCACACAGCCTCATTGGTGTCATCCGAGAGACTGTCCTGTGAACCAGGGAAGACAGAAGCTGCTCCAAGGACAAAGATGCCCCTCTTCCCTGTTGTTCACTGGCTGGGAGTTGGGGTCACCCTCTGGAACCCCTTGAAAATAGGGACAGTCCGGAGCCCGTGTGTTCCCATTCTTTGCTCCCCTTTTTGTGTATGGAGGGAACTCGAGTGAAGGAGCAGGTCCTCCCAGGCCTCTTGGGTCTTGGATGCACTGAATTGGAGGTGAAGACAGGGGACTCTGTTCCTCCTCAGCATTTTCACAGCATTCCTGAGGGTCACGTGCCCCAGTGCGGGCCAAAGCTGTGCCAGTGGTTCTTCGCTCACCTTCCCCTTCTCTTCTCTCCTCATTGCCGAGTTCTTTGCCTCACGGGAAGGGCGGAGCGCTGGGCTGTTACTCATAGACGCCCGAGGCCTTTCGTAGCCCAGTGAGAGGAGCTGGCAGGAGAAGGGATGATTAACCCCCGTGTGACTGCAATCCCCAGGCCTCATTGTAGGTTACCCTCAAATCACACTCTTTAGGAAAAGAAGGACATTTTTTCGGTGTCAGCTTCTAATGAAAGACATTTAGGGAGAAGATTATTGTTGATTCCATGTATTTGTGCTTGCAAAACTAGAACACCTAAGGCAGAATGGAGAATAAAAATGTTTACTTTGGACCTCTGGGCTCGGTGTGCAGTGTCTGCGTCTGTTCAGGTGGCCAGGCTTTACCTGACAGACGGTTCAGAGCTTGGAGCCGTGCTGCTCAGGGTCCTGGGCAGACCACTGGCCAATTTCATCTCCAAAGCACTGCAGGCCGGGGGCAGTAATGCACCCTCTCTGCATTCCTGGAGGTGCGTTTTAGTGGGGCCACAAACAGTGAATCAGTAAAGCACTCACAGATTGGAGATCAGTGGTAGGAAGACAGCTTCTGTGAGGACATGACCCTTGCACTGGACCTGACTTTGAGTGCCAGGGAAGTGTTCGGTCAAAGGGAGAAGCCACTAGAGGAGGCCACAGACAGCCCAAGACGGGAGGGTTGGGCAGGAGGCTTGCAGGCTGCATTCTCTGCCAGTGAGAAACCGTGGGTGGAGAGTTTCTAAGAGAACAGCAGATTGAACTGTTACTTTCACAAGATGACCATGCTGCATGAAGAACAGTTTAGGAGCTAGATGCAGAAGTCTCATGGAAAGTGGGGTACCAGTTCTCTTTGGCCGGTGTCTCTGTACAGGTACTGGGCTAAGGACTCTCATTTCGTGCTGTCCATAGCTTACTGTGGTGGGAGCTGTTATTGAAGTCATGCAGAAACTAAGGGGGGAGAGCTGACTTTCACACCCAAGCGGTGCAGCTCCAGAAAGCTCTCTATCCCTCAGCTTCCCCCGTGGTGGGGGTCTGGATCTCATGACCCTGGGGGAACCTGGCGAGCTCCTGCTTGACTCCATGCCAGCCTTGGAGGGAGAGAAAAGAGGGAAAGACTCTGGCAGTACTGAGCTGGGGTGAAAAGTGAGCTGTGGAAGCAGCTAGAAGTGGAGGAGAAATAAAGGTTGTGAATAGGTCAAGTCAGGCCTGCTTCCCTGGAGTCAGCTGTTTGCGGAGAGATTTGAAGAGAATTTCCAGAAAGATTTTCTCCTTTCCTACCTCTACCCCCAGGCAGACAAATGATCTTCCTTTTCTAGAAGCCCTCAGCGGCAGGGCCAGAGCTGCTTACGGGGTGGGAGGCGGGGTTGGCTCTCAGCGGACCTCAGTGGTGTGCAAACCTCCATCCTCCCCGCAGCTGTCCGTGGCCGACAGTGTGGGCTGACCCCGAGTGGTGTGAGGCCTTTCCTTCCTCCCAGCTGCTGTCCCCCACCTAGTTTCTCCGGGTGAGGCTGGGGGCTGCCAGCCCACCTGTTGCTAATCCCTCACGGCTGGTGGGAGGGGCAGCCTCTCCTGTATTACCTCATTCTACCATTTCCCACCGACTTTGGCTTCTACCTTTTCCCTGCTCTGGGATGGGATCCACTCCCCCCACCCCCCGCCAGCTGCAACTCTCTCCACCTCTCCCAAGCCCCCTTACTGGTCCTCCCCCTGCAGCTGCCACCGCAGACATCACCATGTGCCTGGAAGGCTCAGGGCAGAAGGGTGCTGTAGGTGTGCACTGTCTGGCTGTGGTCTTGGGAGCGGGCAGAGCTACTGTTCGTCATCCTGAGGATGGGGAAATCGCCAGCAGCACCTGCAAGAGGAAGGGAGGACACAAACCTGAGAGCATCGCTTAGGTGGACAGAAGGAAGCGGGGACCCATTTCAGCTTCACAGAGCTGACCCAGTAACCTGCTGTGTTCCATGTAATTCTAGGACCTGAAGGTAGTTTTGGTAAAGTCAGAAAACTGACTTCTTTCTTTCTTCTCTGATTTTAAAAACTAAGACTGTGTGTGTGTGTGTGTGTGTGTGTGTGTGTGTGTGTGTGTGTAGAACATTACCATATTCTATAGTGACTTACCTTGGAATGGAACCTCGAAGTCACACAGTTTATCTCCTCCTTGGCTTGCCGGGCAGGTACTCATGAGCACTTGAGCATTAGCAGCTTAACTGAGCATTACACAGAAGGCTGTTTCACATTCCAGTCTAGAGGAGGTGTTGAAGCACTTTAAATGTGGTTCTCAGTTAATTAGTACAGTGATGCCTGAAATGACCTTTCACTGGTAAAGTAAGTGATGTTCAAGATATGTGGCTGGCGACAGCATTGTCGATTTGTCCCTGTGAGGTATGAGAGTCTGGTCCCCACTTGAGATCGTCATGGGAGAGACCAGGACATGGCTGCTCCTCCAGAACATTGTCACATCTGCCTCACACCCAACAGCATGAAAGCAGAACTGGAGGGGCACAGCCTTTTCAGCTAGCCGTGTGCCCGCATGCCTGAGGCCAGAGAGCAGGGCTTTCTCAAGCTCATACTCTGTCTTGTGCAGACTTCCTGACAAGCGTCTGGCTGGTGGAGTGCGCTGACGCCAGCTTTTGTTGGAGCATCCCTCCCGCAGGTGCGGAGTGGGGAAGGAGGCCGTGGCCTCCAATATCCTGGACTGCTCACGTTGTAAAGAGAACTAGACACTTGCTGGAGGCCAGCTGGCTAGGTCTGGTCACTCTATGCCTGAGTTAATAGGTGGGGAAACTGAGGCTCAGTGCTGAGTGGAACTGAGGCAGGAGACCAGCACTTCAGCCCTTGGACCAGGGCTGGTGAAGGAATAGTTCTTTACCAGTAATCTGTCTTAGACTGTTGTCAGGGTGTGTGAGGGAATGGGTTTAATATAGGACACGTACTTTATAAGATGATTTTACATTATTCACCCAAAAAGTCAGATGCAGAAGGATACAAGGGATCTGTCCATGCACTAGAGACCCAAAGAATCCAGCTGAGGGCCTGAGTCCCACGGCAATGTCCTGCGCAAGTCGAAGGCCTAGAGCCCATAGCAGTGCCCTCCACGAGTCCAGCTGGAGGCCCAGAGCCCACAACAATGGCTCATGCAAGTCTGTATCAAGGATCTGCACTGGGAAGGCCCAAAGGTCAGTGGTGGAAGCTAGAAAGTCCATGCCAGTGGGATGAAGGATCTGTGCCAGCAGGCTGAGGGATCTGCACTGGAGCCAGGAAGTGATGTTCAAGGTGAGGACCAGCGCTCCCCTGAAGAGAACCTCAGGCATCCTCAGTGACAGTGAGGATCTGAGCTGCTGTGACGATGAGAACAGCCGAGTTCATATCAGGAAAACCAGCGTGACAAGCTTCTCTGGGAGAATCAGAAGCACCCTATCGTCCCCCCCAGTTCTGCTTTCACGCTGTTGGCAACAACCCTCAGGTGGGCCCTCCACACTCGGCACCACGCTGATTCAGTTCAGCTGGATATTACAAGCTGACCCTTAGTTAATCTACCACACAAACCAAAACTCACAAATTGTAGCAACTTAATAGGAAAATGAAATGGTAGTAATAAAAAGGACATTAAATACAACTTCTCCTTTTTAAAAATAGTTTTAGAGCAGCTTCAGGCACACAGGGGAATTGAGTGGATGATGCACATGCCCCCCTGGTTTCTAGCACATGGACCACTGCCCTCGTATCAAGCCCCCCACCAGCGGGGCACATTTGTCACAATAGATGAGCCCACAAAGACCCATCATTCTCACCCAAAGACCGTGGGATGGTGTCTGTTAAGGTTCACGTTTGGCGATGTACATGCTAGGGGTGTAGACAAATGTGTATTGATATGTACCCATCATTGTAGTATTGTAGAGTAGTGTCACCATCCTAGAAACTATTCCTCTCTTCCAGTTCCAGGAAACCACTGATCCTTTTACTGTCTACATAAATCTGCCTTTTCCAGAATATCATATAGTTGTAATCGTAGTCCATATCACTTACTGATACGCATTGACGGTGACTCCATGTCTTTTCATAGCTTGGTAATTGATTCAATCCCTTTTGAAAAATTATTTGATTCAGCCATCATAAAACGACTCTATCCAGGGGCTGGGGATTTAGCTCAGCAGCACAGCACCTGCCTGGCAAGTGCAAGGTCTTGAGTTCGATTCCCGGTACCGGAAAAACAACAGCAACAACAAAAACCAAACAAAAACCAAAAACCGGCTCTATCCAGTTAACTGCTTAAAACTCTTGCCTTTCTTTTTGAACTTTGTCTCTGGCCGCATGGGTCAGGCTGAGTGCCCCTGCCAGCCTGAGTCCCCCAGTTTTCTTTGGACCTGTTCTGTGTGGTGGGGTCTGGGCCATTGATGAAGGGGACCGGGAGCATGTGGGCAGGCAGACACCCTTGCCTTGCAGCTGTGTCTCTGTCCTTGCAGTTGCCCCCTCTCACGGGGGCCTCAGTGCCGAGGCCCAAGTCCCAGCGAATCCCTCAGGATTGGGAAGCAATGGTAGAGGAAGAGGGAACTGCTGCCAGGCTCCTTACCCAGAGGGAGAGGAATTCTGGAAGCAGAACAAAGGAGGCCATCTCGCCTCCCCGTCGGCCCTGGAGGATGCCGAGGAGAACAATGAAGGGTTGAGGGAAAAGCCGGACAAGGCCATCTGTGTACAGGGGCCTCTGCAAGGCAGGCCAAGCCTGGGGCCAAAAGGTACCACTTTCTTCCATTTCTGTCCCTCTCCTTCATTCAACAGGTATTTGCTGAACTCCAGAACTCCAGGCAGGAGGCCAGAAATGCTGAACAGGAGGAGGAAGACAAAACCAAACCAAACAAAAAACAAATAATAAATACAAAGTTAACGTCTTGGCTGATGCTCAGCTGCTTCTGGGCCCCAGGGAGAGGGAGCAGCCAGGAGAGGCTGACTTTGGAGACCAGAGGATTGGCTGCTGGGAAGGACCCTCCTCACTGATTATGAAACAGTCCCAAAGACCTGGGCTTGTGCAGCTGGCAGCTCACCGTCTTGGGGGTTCTTTTAAACTATCTGTGATGCTTTTTTTTTGGTCTTTTTGAGACAGGGTCTCCCTATGCAGTTCAGGCTCTCTGTGAGCTCACTCTGTAGCCCAGGCTGGTCTGGAACTTGCAACAACCCTCCTGCCTCAGCCTCCTGTGTGCTGGAATTACAGGCACAAGCCATGTAATGCTTTTTAAAGGCAGTAGGGAGGACTTTATTCAGAACGGGACAATGGCACTGGAGAGAGAGGTCAGACTCAACACTGAATACAAGAAAAATCATTGAA